TTTTTTTAAAAAATATATTTTATTGATTTTTTTACAGAGAGGAAGGGAGAGAGATAGAGAGCTAGAAACATCGATGAGAGAGAAACATCGATTAGCTGCCTCCTGCACACTCCCTACTGGGGATGTGCCCGCAACCAAGGTACATGCCCCTGACCGGAATCGAACCTGGGACCCTTCAGTCCGCAGGCCGATGCTCTATCCACTGAGCCAAACCGGTTTCGGCAGTAAGTTGCATGTTTGATAGACACTATTTTTTTCCTTATTGTCCGAGAACTTGTTCTTATTGAATCAGCAACTACAAAATCTTTATGATACCAGAAGATAATGCCAGAGTAATAATCTAGTAGCATAAATAAATCTGTGCCATTTATCAATTAGTGCCTCTTAGCCCCACATTTGCCCTTCACTATTTCTCCTTTGTAGTGAGCATGTGAAGCTTTCTCAGTAGAGGGCGCTAGAGGGGCAAGAGGGAGGGAAGGACTATCTTGCTGTTCTGGCTGCTGCCTGGTGCGGGAATGGTGTGGGTGTGGGGAGTCTGAGGGAGTTCTGCCCCGAGCACAGGTTTTCCCGGTAGGAGACAACCTCCTCTCAATCCTGCAGACTAGAAACCCACACCCTGATGGATTCCTGTTTGCATAAGTGCCCCAAAGGCAGCTGCCAACACCTGTTCGCTAAGCAAAGATCACCTGCAACTCCAAGGGTTTCCACTGAGCAGTCACCTGCAGGACCCCACTACCTGTGCAGATCCCCGTGGTTGGTTGCTGAATGTACCATTTGCACTCTGGGGGGTTGCTTTCTGCTTGCCCAGGCACTGAGACCAGCGCTGGCCTGGGCAGATCAAGGAACGTCTGTTGTCAGTGGGCTGAGTCCGTGGGAAGGTCTAAACTCAGCCGTGGCAGAGGCCCCTGTCCTTGGGATGCAGGGTGTCATGTCAAATGCCTTATACGCCCTAGCACTCCTTTACCAGAACCTAATCATTCTTCCTATTAAATGTCTCTTGTTCAACCCACTGTGTAAGGCAATGGCAAAATTGATGTTTTAGCAAGAAGTGCAGCTGTTTTCCCTGTGTAGATTAGAGAGGAATTTATAGAATGAAGTAGGAATACACGAGCCAGTTTCTTCACTCACAACTTTTTCCTTGTCTAATTTTGATGGTAGGGTTTTGAAATTGGACGACAGCTCCTTTCACTTCTCAAAGGACCTTAACACCCTTTTGTTTCATCAGGTAGGCTGTCAAATCCACGTCACGAGAAATGCTAACTCACCTGTAGCATGAGACTTGTGAGGAAGCACCAAACATCTGAGTAGGGTCCCCACTGAAAAGTCGGCCATGATTTCTGATGAGTGCAAGCATCATGAATTCAGAAAGTATCAGCACTTCAAATTACTGACATGTATTCATTCCTTTTGAGGAAAAATAATTAGTGCAGTTGAGCTTGAATTAACATTTAGCTTGTTTGAGTTTACAAAAGTGGAAATAACCCATATCACAGTCTTGGGGATTATATGAAAGTAGTGGGAACAATAATAACTCATAATAACGTAGTTAATGAGAGTAAACTTGACAGGGCTTTGAATTCTGGATTAGCACATAAATTCATGTTAGTCTTATTGTGATCATAACAATAGAAACTGTACAAACAATTGGTGTCAGTGGCTCTCAAATGTTAAGACACAGATTCCCAGCCTACTTGGTTGTGTCCCAGCAACTGGCATTGTTAACATGCATTGTGATTCTGATACAGAGTATCTTGCTTGTACTGTACTTTGAGAAACCATGATGCAGTGTCTGAAAGAACTTCCATAAAAGGAAGGCAGCAGTACCTTGTCTCCAATAAACTGTTTCTATATAGAGTGGCCCCTTCACATTCTCCTGATCTCTCTCTTTTTTTTAACCTATCTTTATTGATTTCAGAGAGGAAGGGAGAGGGATAGAGAGTTAGAAACATCAATGATGAGAGAGAAACATCGATCAGCTGCCTCCTTCACACCCCCTCCTGGGGATGTGCCCACAACCGAGGTACATGCCCTTGACTGGAATCGAACCTGGGACCCTTCAGTCCGCAGGCCGATGCTCTATCCACCATCCACCGAGCCAAACCGGTTAGGGCCATCCTGATCTCTTTATGCATTCCTGGAGATGGAGGGGTTATTTCTGGCTGAAGTTTTTAGTTTTTCTTTCCCATTGTAAGGTGAATAAAACTCATGCTGTTCTAACAATGAAAAAAAAACAAAATTCCAACCTAACAGAATAAAATCAACAATATTATGGAAAATTAAACTAAAGAGAAATAAATTTGGAACCACATAAGAATAAAAAGCGAATATTTTCCTAGGCATTTAGAGAACCCACAACCTGCCCCCCAACATCTTAGTAAAAGATGTTTGTATAAAATTCAAACTTAAAGGTAGAGCTTGTATTGGGAACAAATGTGACCTCACTTTTAAAATCAGAAGTGATTTTAGATCAGATATTGACAATGGACTACTAGGGACAGTGGGATGTCCCAGGCTGGTTTCTCCCTGTTTAAGCCCCCAGGCCCTCACTCAAGTCGACAGAAAGGCACTGATTCTTAGGGGTTGGTTGACCCAAACTTGCTCATCTTCAAGTTTGAAAACCAGTTGTGCAAAATGAAACCTAAAATGTTCCCCTGGGACAAAGGAAAATGTGTTTGGTTTTGACAGCATCTCTTGGAGGAACTCAGACACTCACACTTTGGGTTCTCTCTGCATTCTTTGGGGTTAAGTAGCCACAAGGAACAAAGCAGCCCGAGAAAAGGCTGAGTCACCCAACATGCAGCAAGGTTCCCAGGAACTTCCCAAGTGGCCCAGGTGGGAGGCCTCCCAATTTTGTTGCAGGACATTGTCCTTTCTTGGGACTTCACAGGTTTTAGTCTCAGCATTTGGATTATTGCAAGGCCACCCCCCTCCCCCACCCTGCCCCCCACCTGACTTCTGATGGGACGTGGTATTTCTGAAATGACCACATTCACAGGGAGAGTTATTGACTGTGGACACACATGCTTGATGTCATGTGTGCCCTGAAATCTTGACTGATAACCTGCTCATGGTTGCTCCGCTCATCATCTCGGTTGAGAGGATATTGTTGGGAGGAAAAAGGATGGCTTCCACTGTGGATGATTTAAAAAAAAATAATGGGGAAAGAATACAAATAGGAAAGGGAGGAAGAATAGGCTTATTTTTTAGCTGAAGGCATTTAGAGGTTAGCAGTGAAAATTAAGTTAGTGGTTTCTTCTCATCAGAGCCCAGAGGTCAAGTCCTGTTACAATAAACACCACACCCACCGAAGAATTAGACTTCAGAGTTGTGCTTGGTCCCTCACTTTGTGTAACAACTGAACAAATTTCAGTGGAGGGAAAGAAGAGAGGCTATCCCAGGAGGGCCACAGGCTTTCAGCATCACCTGCTCCTCTACTACAGGGTCACTAAGTTTGATACATATACATTAGCAAAGTGACTGAAAAAGATTGATTGCAAAATGTTCCCAGTCAGATCCTTAAGAGGAATAATTTTAAGGAGTGTTGGGAATTAGGAGCCCTAGGTCCTTACAAGCAATTACACTAAGAACAGTGGAAGACATTGATTGGCTGGCTTTAGCCTGGCCTGCCCAGCGCAAGGAGCCACTCAGTAGCAGCAATTCACAGCCAGTTACCAAGTGCGGTGATTTCAGGCTCCGGTGTTGGCCTAAGTCTGATGAAACATTGGACTGTTTTCTCTACTTCAAAATGACCATGTGGAGTGGCTGTTGGAGGCTGTCACTGGTCCCACCGATGCTCTGGGAAATGGGCCCTGTGGGTGTAAGAGAGGCTTTTGAAACGTTCCTGGGAAACCAAGGTGCTGTCTTACTGGACGAGTCAGTGTATAACCTCCAAAGAGCAGAGCAACAGCTGGGGTCAACAGCTCCACTGGGTGGCCCACTGGCTCTAAGCCAGCCGTGGGCAAACTACAGCCTGCGGGCCGGATCCGGCCCGTTGGAAATGAATAAAACTAAAAAAAAAAAAAAAAAAATAGACCGTACCCTTTTATGTAATGATGTTTACTTTGAATTTATATTAGTTCACACAAACACTCCATCCATGCTTTTGTTCCGGCCCTCCGGTCCAGTTTAAGAACCCATTGTGGCCCTCGAGTCAAAAAGTTTGCCCACCCCTGCTCTAAGCTCATCAAAAGAGATCTGTATTGGGGACCAAAACTACAGTTTAGAAATTTTAAACCAGAAGGTAAATTTCATCCAGTGATTAAATATACTAAGGAAAATTTTACTCTCTGATTCTCTAGGACTGGCTGCCAGTGTACTTGCAGCCCAAACGAGCACAGGGAGCCACCAGCTACAGTTCAGGCACATATGGAAACAAACAACTAAAGCACAGCCTAGGATGCATCACCTGCAGTGTTAATCTGTTGCCATCTACAGCGGCTGTCAACACAGCCAGGCCTCTGGCCCTGGCCTCCTCCCATGGTTCCAGTTTTAATAGACTTACCACTGGGCTCTTGAGTATCCTCTATAAAGTTACTGAAGCATGTAAGTGCAAAATAAATCTTCGGATGCTGAGGGAATTGTTAATGGTGGTTGGTAGGTTTGACATGAAATAAAACCCCAAACTTTAAAAAACAGCATCATTAAAACAACCTGATAATCTATCTCACTAAACAGGCTATGGTGAGCCCAAATCCTGTGCATGACTGCGTGAATTGTTTTGAATTGTCTTGGTAGCTGACCTTCCTCTTGTCATACAGGCTGGTGAGTTGCTGGCCTCGTTAGTAAAATACGGTTTTATCTCCCCACCAGTGATGACAGGCAGCCCTAGGAAGTGATGCGGTAACCTTATTGCTGGAAGCTGCCTTCCTGGAGGTGTGTGCTCCTGTGGCAGGAGTAGAGTGGTGAGGACGGGCAGCAGTGGGACCTGGGTTCCCCAGGACTCGGTTTAACACAAGCACAGGAGGTCCCCTTGTATTTGTAAAAATAAAGCAGACAAGTCAAGAGTTTAAGAAAAAACAAGTCTCCACACTCCATGGGACTGTCTTTGGAATTCTTCATTTCATTAAGGTTTTCACAAAATACAAAGCTCCAACAACATAATTGTCTACGTCCACCACAAAACAGAATCAAATAAGTGGTTAGCAAACAGACATAATGATCCTTTTCATTTTTAAAAATATAAATAACAATGTTCAAGGCTTTACAATTTTCTGCTGTGTGTGTTTTTCTTTAAGGCTTTATGCTGCAGACCCTTCACTAATGAGTCCTTGTACCTGTCGTCAGGATGCATGGCCCACACAAAGGCAGGTCACGGTGGGTACATTCCTGAGGGCGACACACACTGATCCCTGCTGCCTAAGCCTGTCGGAAACTAAATAATCAAACACCCTCCAATCAGTTCTCACAGTTTCATTAATTTTCTTTCTATTGCAAAGTAACAATAGAAAGGGCTAAGTTCCCAGCAGCATTCAAGCTCTCAGATCAATCATGAAGGGTGAGAAGGAAAATACAGGCTTTTTCCTGGATAGAATCTTTTCCTTTTATCCAGAAAACCCCCCAAACCCATAGAGTTTAAACAGTGGTCTTTACTGCAACATTTTTCAGATTAAATAGTGTTGAAAGAAAGGGTGATCTTTCGGTCGGGCGTTTTAGCAGAGGTTAGAGTGGAGAGGTTACCGTTGGGGAAACACCACTGGGAATACACCCCCCCACGGGAGTCATTTCATTCGTGCGGTCCAGGGGCAGCGCCGGGGTGCCCGCCTTGGGGACGAAATCCGCGGGGAGACTCTCCAGCAGGCACTTGACCTGCTCCTGGCCCAGTCTGATCTTGTCGTCCAGCTTTCGCTGCTCAATGAGGAGTGTTGACTTCATTTTCACAAAATGCTGGTAATCCTGGAGTTGTTCCTCCGAAAGGTAATTGCCCAGGATGTCCAGCACCACGCGCTCCCTCCGGTCCAGGTTCTCCTTGAGCTCCCGGGCATCCTCGTGCTGCCCCGCCAGGACCTTCCTCTTCTCGTTGAGAGAGCTCTGCCGGGGCAAAATGAGCAGATGAGCTAAGGGCGAGGGGACGGTAGGGCAGAGCCAGACTGCCCACAAAGACTACCTTCCACAGGACTGCAATGTGCAGCTTCTCTTCCAATGATCACTCTGAATTAAGGAGATTATGTTTTTGAAAATCAGCTTATTACCCTTCGATGGGGTACCCCTGGTTCTCTAATTTGTGAAGCCATGTGGCAGCTTTGAGGGAGATGACCTTAAACTGACTGGGGTAATGACTTGACTTTAGGCTTGTGTACTGAACAGCACAATCAATAATCTCACTTAGATGAGGTTCTTAGGAGAGTCAAAATCATGGAGACAAAAAGTAGGATGATGGCTGCCAGGGACTAGGAGGTGTGGAAATGGGGAATTACAGTTTAACGAGTAGAGTTTGTTTTGCAAGATGACTGAGTTCTGGAAATGGATGCACAACAATATGAATGTATAAAATATTACTGAATTGGGTACTTTTAAAATGGCTAAGATGGCTAGTTTTATGTGTAGTTTACAACAATAAAAAAATTGAAAAGGCCAAACATCAAATATTTCTATTGATAGTGGTTTTCCAAGTGTGGACCAGCAGCAGCTAACCTGGTAATCTGTTACAAATGCAGATTTCAGGCCCTATTTCACCTACTGGGGGGTGGGGCCTAGAAGTCTGTGGTAATCTGAGAGTTTCTTATACAAACTGAATGGTAAGGTAACATGCTATCTTTAGGGATAATGTACGTTATGAAACATTTTAATGTGTATGTGTGTGTGTTGATTTTTACTCATCATGCTGACATACAATGAATGTCATGAACATTTTTAAAAATTTTATAATTAACCATTCAGACTTTTCAGGCCAAAGTGATTGAGAAATATTAAAATGAAAATGAAGAAACAGATTATTTAAATATATACCTCAATACAAATTAGCTTATGTAGGGTGATGAAAGGCATGTGTGTCTTTGTCCTAATTTTCCTCAAACTAGCCTATCTTAACATAATAATGCTTAGGGGGAAAAGTGCAAAATTATAGATTTGTCTTACAAGTATCTCCATTTTCATAGACTTCTTGCACCTAATCAGAAAAACACACCTAAAACCCCCCTCCCTGATTTTGAATGAAGGCACTTTTCAAAATACTGTAGAGATATAAGTTAAAAAGTGAAAACCTCTCCTCACCTTAAAAAAAAGGAAATATTTTAAACACCGGAAATTCATAGAGAATGATGTAATACCTGTGTACCCATCATTAACAGTGCCAAATCTCACCATGAACACTTTTCATATTTGCTTTCGATTAAAAAGTTAGGTTCAGTTGAAGCCTTACACATACTTATCCCAGTCCCCATCTTTCCTTCCCGCCCCTTTGGCAACTATTATCCTGAATTTGGCACTTAGTGAAACACGTATTACTCCTTTTCTCATTCCTATTGGTAGTTTTATAGTTTCTTAACAAAGACTGATCATTACAAAAACTAATATTGATGTAGTATTTTGCTGGTGAGCAAGCACTTACTTGTATTTGAGAGTGTATGTGTGCATTAAGTGTTGAGTTGAATTCGACTGTAGAACAACTTCTCTCCCCGAGATCTGCTCCAGTATTCCTATCTCAGATATCTGCAGCACCCACCCAACTTGTCAAACAGGAAATTACTTTCTGTTCTACCCGCCCTCTCTTGTAACACACCTGCTAATTCAAACTCATTCTCTAACCCCATTACAACTGCCCAAATTAATGGCCTGGAGCCTTCTTGCTAGACTATTACAATAAGTCTCCCAGCTGTAAGCATCATTCTCACCCCTCCCAGGCTGATTAAGTCATAAAATTAGTTTATAGCTCTTCTTGGCCAATAGGTTAAAGAGTCCAGAGCCTACAGCATGAACATAAGGTCTGTGTAACTATTTTCTGCACTGGATACTGCTTACCCCTCCAGACCCACACTCCTCAGCGCTGCTCTGTGGCTGCATCAACTGGGCTCCCTTGCCTTCTGGGTTTGGCCAATAGGAGTCATGGGGAGAGATTGGAGGAGAAAGCAAGGGGGTGTTTGTATTTATCCCTGGCCCCGTCTCTGCCAGGTGGTGGTGGCTGCATTCTTTCCCCAGGCCTCAGTGCTGCAGGACAGCCACAGCTACAGCTCTGATGAGGACCCCCTTCCTGTTGCTCCTCCAGATCTAGAGGTAGTAATGGCTTCCCCTCTGATGCTGGCTCTAGGGGCCAGGGAGCTTCATTCTTTCTCCTTGGTTGCCATTAATCCTTCCCATGCCTTCAATGATACCTCTTTTTCGTTATTTATTTTGTTTATTAGATTCCACATATTAAGTAAAATCATGTGGTATTTGTCTTTCTCTTATTTCACTTGGCATAATACCCTCTAGGTCCATCCATGTTGTCACAGATGGCAAGATTGTATTCCTTCTAATGGCTATTGTATGTTAGACTACAGTAACATCTATTGTATATATGTACCACATCTACTTTATTCAGTTGTCTTTTGATGGACTCTTAGGTTGTTTCTCTGTCTTGGCGATTGTGTAAATAATACTGCAATGAAGATAGAGGTGCATATATCTTTTGAATTGTTTTGGATTTCTTTGGATAAACACACAGAAGTGGAATGGCTGGGTCATATGTAGTTCTACTTTTAATTTTTTTAAGGAACCTACATATTACTTTCCATAGTGGCTGCATCAATTTACAATCCCACAAAAATGTACAAAGTTTCCCTTTTCTACACATCCTTGCCATATTGATGACAGCCATCTGACAGGTGTGAGATTATATCTCATTGTAGTTTTGATTTGCATTTCTCTGATTATTAGTGAGGTTGAGCATCTTTTCATATGTCTATTGGCCATCTGTATGTCCTCTTTGGAGAATGTCTATTCAGGTCCTTTGCTCATTTTTAAAATTGAATTGTTTGATTTCTTTGGTGTTTTGAATGCCCCTTTAAATAGAGCTATCAAATAAAAAAAAATTGGGGATCTACTTCCTGTCCAATCCCTGACTACATATTTTTCTATTTTCAGTAATTCACTATTTTAAAAAATGAACCAAGTTATCACTTTATGTTCTAGACATAACAACCATATGTAAAACAGTTTTTGAAGATGCCATGGTCTTTCTTTACTTGGTCTATGATATTCCTTCTAAATCATGAAGTCTTTCCATTCTTACTCTGCTTACAAATATGAAATTCTTCCCAGTGGTCGGCAAACTGCAGCTCACGAGCCACATGCGGCTCTTTGGCCCCTTGAGTGTGGCTCTTCCACAAAATACCGACTTCTGCGCATGGGCCACGAAGTTTCAATCGCACTGTATATGCGTGCCTGCACGTGGTATTTTGTGGAAGAGCCACACTCAAAGAGCCGTGGTTTGCTGACCACGGTATCTAGACTGTTAAGCATCACTTGCGTGAAGTCTTTCCCCGCCTCACCCCACCCGCTGAGAAGTGTTTCTGGGCTCTGCCTTGATTGCTGTGCTGCAGCATACTGGATCCATCTGCTGCTTCCATACTGGTTTTCCTCACTCCTGGCGAGTTCCTGCAGGGCGGGGCCCGTATTGTCGCCAGGGTTCATGCCTAGCAGACACAGCACCTGACACAGTACAGGGTCTCGTTCGCTGTTTGCTGAGTGGGAGGAAGGAGGAAAGGAAAGCCTTCTGAGGCAGACACTATTAGACAGTTCCCAGCAGAGGCAGCTCAGGCTCAGCACACTTCCAGGAGGAGGCACCCACTGGAGTGGAGCTGCAGAAAGTTCTGGATACGCAGCCCAAATGCTTACCATCTGGACTTTTTCTAATCTCTTGGAAAAAAGACATCGTTCCTTTTAATAAAAAAAAAGTACACACACACACACACACACTCACTAGGAGAAATAATTAGGAAATCCCTGATAGCATTAAAAGACAGAGAGAGCTGTAGATAGGAGGAGGAGCCAGAGAGCAAGGGAGCATCCTGATGGTGGAGCATTTACCACTTTGCTTGTGCGTGTGTACACATTATAGCTACGTTTATTGTCTGACTTCCCTTGGTAAGTTAGTTCCCTGAGAGCAGGGATCTGTCTGTTTTGTTCTAAGGTATATCACAAGTGCCCAGAGCAGTCAGTGGCACATGCTAGACACCCAGCAGACATGTGTTGCACAGATGAGTAGATGAAGAATGCTCTGTGGCAATGGAATAAGTTCAATGAGGTGAATAAAACCTGGGGTCTGCAGCAGGACTCCTGTCCTGGCTCTGCCATTCACTCCATGAGACTGCACATAGAGAGTGTCAGCCCACAGTGCCTCACCGAGGAAGCACTAGAAGCTGATCCAGGATCAGCACCACTGTCATCACCTGTCCTCTTCCTTCCAGAAAGTGGTGTGGTGGAGACACTTGGTGCATTCTCCCCGAGGGCTTGCAGCCTCCAGCTGAACTGCAGATTCCCTGGGGCGTAAGCTCATGTTCCTACGCCCTCTCCTCATCCCCCAAAGTTCTGTTGTCCCTCTCTCTTTTTCCAAGGTCAACCCCCATTAGAAAGGAAGGAAAGAAACCCTGGCACCTGTGTTTTCACCCTCCTAAGTGTTCCCTGAGCCTGCAGGATCAGCTTTACATCTTGGCAGGGAACATGCCTTCTCCGTTTCCTGGTTATCTATACTTCGGACTTCCTCCCTGCCCCAAGTAGACTGTCATCTTCTTGAGAGAAGGGACCGTGTCTTACTGTGCTTCTCTGTGTACATGGGCTCAGAGGGAAAACGTGTTGAATGGAATTGCTAGGCCACCTACCCTTTCCTCTTTACTGGCATCTTCACCAAGGCCGCTGAGGGCGTTCTCCACGCGGGCCAGGCGCCCCGAGAGGGAGAGCAGCAGGCTGACCACCTTGTCCAGGTCCCCGATGAACATCTTGTACTTGTCAAACTCGTTGGGCTTGCAGAGCTCACTGATCAAAGCCTCCACCTCTTCTCCCAAGGCGTTATTGAGCTTGATGTCCATTAGCAGGCTCCCCTTGGCTTCCTGCAGAGTCTCAAGCTTGTGGGTGAGGCTTCCAATCAGCTCGGCCTGGAACCACAGAGGAGACCCACGGCAAAGGTTAGCCAACCATATCCCATCTTTTCTTCAAGGCTCACCTGAAGGTCCCCACTCTATATGGCCTGCCCCCCAACATGAGGGCACAAGACTCCTTCCTTTCCCTGAATATCCACAACTGTCTTCTTGGAGCCTATGAATCCTAACAGGCCAACACACACATTGCCTCTTAATGTTTTCCAACAGTGTTATGCTCTGTACAGCTCTGACTTCCCAACTGGTTTATTAAATACTTACTTTTAAAAGTTTTTTAAAAGACATAATCTCATTTGATCCTCACAACAATACCATCCAGAAGCAGGTAGGGTAAATATCCTTGTTTTACAAATAGTGAAGCCAAGAGTCAAAGGATTACGGGACTTGTCCAAGATCACAGAGTTGAGTTGAATATTAACCACAGATACCATTTATAGAGCAATGACTACATGCTAGACACTATATGAGACACTGTACACAGATTATCTCATTTATTCTTCCCAACAATTTTGTAGTAAACACTATTTTATCCACATACAGTAGGTGAGGAAACTAAGACTCAGGGAGGTGAAGTGAGGTCTGACACATGTACTAGTAGGTGGGGCAGCTTTGAACGCAATCAGCCTGACTTTAGGGGCTCTCCTGGGCAATCTGATAAACTAGGAGCCCAGTTCATGAACTCGTGCTCCGTGAAAGGAACTGTGGGCCGCCGAGTCTGTGGTGGGCACAGGGCGGGTCTCAGCCCATCCTCCGTGTCCCCACCCGGCCCATCCCGCCGTGGACCCAGTTCTGTCTGCTGGAAGCCTTGCTCCTGCCACTGCCGCACCCACACGCTGACAGTGCCAGTCCCACTCACACCTGCTGATGGCGCAGAGCGATTGGGGCTGCCCTGATTGCCCCTCAGGAGCAGGGGGAGGTGGAGAAGCCCTCAGGGGTGATTGGGGCCAGCAGCTGCAGCTTGCAACGGCTCCAGCTGCAGGTGTGAGTGGGGCCTGTGCCAGCAGTGGGTACAAGTAGGGACATCGCCGGTAGCAGGTGTGAGAGGTGACTGCTGGCCCCAATTGCCCCTCAGGAGCAGGGTGGAGAAGCCCGGAGGGGTGATTGGGGCTGGCACTCGCCACTCGCACCTGCTGACAGTGCTGAGTTATTGGGGCTGGCACTGGGTGCCGGCAGCGGGTGTGAGTGGTGGCTCTGGTGTTGGCAGCGGGTGCAAGCACCAGGTGGGACTGCAGCACGTGGGAGCAAAGAATTTTCAGTAACCACCAGAGGCTTGCCCCAATGACAGTGACTAGTGCCCCTGCCTTGGTCTGGCACTTCTGCTCACCTGCTCCACCATCCCGCCGCGGCTAATGCCTGCCATGTTCCATGCTCTGCTCCCTGCTGCCGATGCCTGCCCTGTTCTGTGCGCGCCCCCGGTGGTCAGCACACATCATAGTGACTGGTTATGTGGCTGTTCGGCTATCACACCGTTTGGTTTATTTGCATATTAGTCTTTTATTATATAGGATATGCACACGAGACCGTTACCAGAATTCAGTTCCTTGTCCTTTCCATTGCACCCCTCACTGTCTCCATTTATTAGAGCCACGTAATTTGCCACCTTAATTGCTACATATATAAAACAGAATTACACAAATAGCCAATATATTTAATTGAAGGGATAAAGTAAAGGTCTTAGTGGTTTCAAGCTTGACTTCATTTATATGAAGTGTCTACTATTTCTTTGAGGCAAGAGAAATTAAACTCCATGGCTTTTGATTCTTTTACTTTTCTCTTAGCCTGAGGTAGCCAGATGGAAAAAGGACATAATCTTTTGGGATTAAAACCTATTTCTTTGTCATTAAAAAGGTTCCAGCTCAGTGTGTGTGTGTGTGTGTGTGTGTGTGTGTGTGTGGTGTAGCTTCAGTTGGAAACTTGGTACAAAATAGTCACAATTTCTATGTCAGAGTAAATGTTCATTTTAAAAGAAGGGAAAGGCCTGACTGGCATGGCTCAGTGGTTGAGTGTCGACCTATAAACCAGTAGGTCATGGTTCGATTCCTGGTCAGGGCACATGCCCAGGTTGTGGGCTCAATCCCCAGTATGGGGTATGCAGGAGGCAACTGATCAATGATTCCCTCTCATCACTGATGTTTCTATCTCTCTCCTTCTCCCTTCCTCTCTGAAATCAATAAAAACATATTTTTAAAAAAAGGAAGGGAAAAAATAGAAATAGTTTTGACCAGCAGAATTAAAGGGTACGGATGACTTTTGGTATCATTGCTTCAACCTCAGCATCAGAGGATACAGTAATCACAATGATAAAGGGGAATATTTATTTCTACACAATCTGCCCATCTTGGAGTTGGACCACGAGATATACTTCAATCCTAAGTCAGGTTCATAATGTTCTTGAAATGTCCAAGTTCTGGGTGACATCCTATTGTCTTTTCAACATGCCTAATCCCAGGGCTGAAGGGTAATTAAATATCATTTGGCCCTGACCAGGGGTCTCAATTGGTTGGAGCATCATCCTGTACACCAAAAAGCTTGCAGGTTTGATTCCTGGTTGGGGAGCAAATGGGGAGCAACTGATCTATGTTTCTCTCTCTCTCCCCTTTCCTCTCTCTCTCAAATCAATAAACATATCCTCGGGTAAGGATTAAAAAACATTCCTATCTGCTGTACCCTCTCATCATGGGTTATAATCTCAGAATTCCTCAAGCTATTTCGTTAAGACAAAGTCAATGCAAAAGACAATTTTAGTGATGGAAAACTACATGTATACTAGAGGCCCAGTGCACGGATTCGTGCACCGGTGGGGTCCCTCAGCCTGGCCTACAGGGATCGAGCTGAAACCTGTCTGAAGCCGGCTCTCTGACATCTCCCGAGGGGTTCTGGATTGAGAGAGGGAAGTTCTCGGGTGACAAATCCCAGAATTGGGCTCCCTCCTCTCTGGTTCCAGGTGCGTCACCCGAGAACCACTGCTGCCAAGTCACTGCAGCTTGGCAGCTCCTGCATTAAGCGTTTTCCTCCTGGTGGTCATTGCGTGTCATAGCTACCGGTTGGACAGTCACTTAGGCTTTTATACATATAGATATGGATGTTACATTATTCAACTAAAGAGTCTCAGCCCAGAAAAATGCAGGTGGGAGAGAATATTGTTTAGTGTTAATTGCTTAACTTTCCTTATAGTCTCCTAGAAAACTCATTGTTTTCCAAAAAACAATTCTGGCTGGTAGCTATAGTATTTGCCTGCAAGACAACCTGCTAGGTACCTCCAGCAAACCTCCCAGCAGGATGCTGCGCTCCTGCTCTGTGATGTCAGGTCCTGTGATGAGAACAGCAAGGACACGGATGGAAAGCAGTGGGGAAGTAAGCACTGCCTGCTACCACCACTCCCCACAGTCCCGCCGGTCAGGGTTAGGTTGAGTCAAATGTCCTCATTCCTGCTTTCCGGATAGATGACTGAGACCCTGACACGGACATGAAGTCAGGCCAGGATTCTTTAACCTCTTAGCTTGCATTTCCTAGGCTTGTCACTCTGAATGCCACTGGATGATACTTTCCAAGAGAAAACCAGGTTATACCCAAGTCCCAAGAGGTAGTTAACTGAGCAGCAATGTTTCTCTCACTCCAACCAAAGGAAAGGCCTCCTGCTTATTCAACTGTTTTGCAATCCATTTCAACCTCATCTTGAGAAGTATAGTCTCAAAAAGGGCTTTTAACAAACTAAATAGTGGAAAGAAAAGATAACAGCCTCTGGTTTTTCCTTATATTACTTCCTTTGAAATTAATATTGTGTGAAGGAACTCAAAGCACTTTTATTAATAATTTAATTCATATCATTAAAAAATTCTCATTATGGCTCTGTCGCTGGTATTTTAAGGGACAGTGTGCTAATTTTTTAATTTGCAAATAAGCAGAAACCAGTAAGAATAAGTGTGTCCTCACATGTAGGGGTGAGTGGTGAAGACAAGCAAGAACTCCTCCTCTGCGTTTCTCCTGAACTTGGCTCCCCACCTTTTTCAGGCTCTTTCAATCTAAGTCAGGCTATGCTGTCCTTGAAATATTCTCGTGCTGAAGGGGTAGCCACCGAGTAAGCAGAGCTCAGTGGGCAAGGACGGGCCAAAGAAACTGACACAGCTGATCAGCCATCTGCGATCAGGCTCAGCAGTCTCATTCACTGCTTTGGTTTTCAAAGGCATCAATGCTGGGCCGGGCTGTACGCCCTCAGAGCTGTGAACTCCAGACTTCATGGTATGAGTAAGAGCAGAACGAGATGAAAAGGCCTAGGAGTGGTCCATGAAGGATTCTTTGGGGAGGACCAATACACGTTTTCTGGCACTGTGATTTCTGAAAGCTGTTTGCTGGGACGTAATATGACATAGCAACAGCTCAGCCATATATGCTAATACAAGTATACTAAGCAGTTGACTCAGTCACTTGTGGCCCAAATGTTGCACATATTTGAATGGTATTTGAATTTTTTAATTTTACCACGCCCTTAAGATATGGACATTTGGATTTTAAAATGCAGTTAAAAGGGATTTGAGTAACTGAAGGCAGCAAGGGAAAGCTGGCTATACTAAATAGCCATTTCTTTGCCAGTAGATAGATCTTGTCCAAAAAAAACCTACCAACTTCCTGCAGAATTCACTGGAGAGAGAGAAGAGGTATTTTGGGTGTTGTTTTTTTTTTTTTTAAAAAACACACAACAACAACATACTAGTCTCTTGGGAGCTACCGATTTGCAAAATCACTGGCATTTATCCACTTCTCATCTGGGATAAACTTACCTCGACCTGTGTGAGGTGCTATTTATAAGGGTTCTTTCTCTAAACATAGTTTAGCAGGCCCTCCCTTCCTCTTCACCATCTGTGCACAGCAACCCTACTGGGCCCTGTCCCATCTCCTTCCTGCTCCAGGGAAAACACGGACCAGGAGTCAGGAGACCGGCTGCGACAGAAAACTCACCATCAGGCGTCGACTGAGCCTGCTCATCTCACCGCAGCAGG